TGAATGAAGTAACTCATTTTCTCTCTCGACAGAGAATTTATTGCAGGATTTAAAATCCCATTATAAAAGCAGACAAAGGCCATCAGCAGCCACTCTGTACATTTCCACTGCTGTATCTCACCTGAACACACCACATAAGGTTGGTTTGAACACTGGATGTTGCCATGCTGAGCCTGACAGTGCCACAGTGAGGACTCATTGCCTTTGCAGCTCACATGGTCCATTATCCCTCCTGAATTTTGACGTTCGACTTTAGTATAAATCAGCTAGAACAAAGCATTTATGAGTTTGCTTTATTTCATTGACAGACAGAAAACACTGACTGATTTAAAGACAACGAGTCACTGCATATTGTTAGCCTGGGGAAAAAAGAGTGGTGAATAAATATAAATCACGGACAGTGGAATAACTTAAATTACCAAACAGTACTGATAAAACTAACATCCACTTGTTTGGTTGGATTGATTAGGAGCTCAAACTGTTGAACTTACTTTAAACATTTTTAATTTTAATTCATTTATTTTAATCCAGGGTTTCCAACTCCAGGCCTCGGGGGCAGATGTCCTGCAGTTTTTAGGTGTGTCAGTAATCCAACACAGCTGATTCAAATGGCCAAATTACCACCTCAACATGTCTTGAAGTTCTCCAGAGGCCTGGTAATGAACTAATCATTTGATTCAGGTGTGTAGACTCAAGGTGAGATCTAAAACCGGCCTGGAGTCGGGGACCCCTGCTTTAATTATTTTGAGGTTCAAACAATGCCATGTTGATCAAATCAAGTGATTATTAAAATTCACAAAATAAACATTTGTTGCAACCCTGTAAAAAAGCATCAATCCAACTATACTGAGGAGAAAAAGCTACATGGTGATCACTAATATTCTTGTGACATCAAAGAAATATATAATATTGTTATCATCTCCAGCAGCTTTTACTTCATGTGCATTCAGTATTAATGGTGCACGTTAGTACACTTATCACAATAAAGTCCATAGCACTGCTGTATGGACAGTTTCTGATACACTCAGTATCCATGTATCAGAACAACAGGTAACTTATGGTGAGTAAACTTGAACACTCACTTCCCCACATCCAAGCTCCTTGCAGACCAATTCAGCTTCCTTTTTAGTCCAGGTGGAGGCACACACAGGATTAACTGAACCATTTACTTCAATATTAACTGTACCATAGCACTTGCTGTCTTTACCAGAGTGCTTCAGAACTACTTTAACTTTATCTGAGAGAGAGAGAGAGAGAGAGAGAGAGAGCAGTTTCACAGTGTGAAGTGTTTGCTTGGAAGTTGTTTGTGTTGGAATATAGACGTGTTGAATTACCTGTGCATGTCACATTAAGGTTTTTGTTTGTGCTGTTGTTTGGGCTGAGAGAGTTACCGCAGTGCATTTGCTGGCACACATCAAAATCAAAGTTGTCCTGTTGAACAGGTACCCAGTTGTTATTTTCTTCTTTTTCCAGCTGCCCAGAACACACATTTGATGGATTTCCTTTGAGCTGCAATCTCGTATAACCTGTTCATAAAAACACTTTCACCATGTGTGTGTGTGTGTGTGTGTGTGTGTGTGTGTGTGTGTGTGTGTGTGTGTGTGTGTGTGTGTGTGTGTTGTGTGTTACCTTCACATATGACAGAAACAGGTTTGCATGATGCTGAATTGTCCTGTTTGCCATTCACACACTGCCACAGATGATCTGGATCTGCGTTTTTAAAGGCTGAACAATCGATCTTCATCTTTGATGAGTCCCTGAAATTATCACTAACCATACTCTCTGAGGGAGGAATTTCTCTGAGTCCACCACACCCGAGATTTTTACACAGAAGCCTGGCTTCTTTTTCACCTTTTTAAGAGAGGAATTAAAACAGTCCAAAACATTTAAAAAAACAATAAAATATTATTATAACATCAAATTGAGAGAGAAATGTTGACAATATTTGAACAGCTCTGCCACATAGAAGATTAGCAAAAAGAAAATACATACCAATGATGTTGTTACAAAAGTAACCCTCAGGTTTGCCATCAATGGAGTACTTGACAGCTCCAGCACATTTGTGTCTATCCAGGCTCAATGTGATATTACCTTGAGGAACGCACTCAATTACCAGCCAAATATAAATACAGATAAAAAACAACAAACACCACAATCGATCCTATCAAGTAATTTCCAATACAGTTCATTTTCCTAACTTTCTTAACAACTTTTAGTGAAGAGTGTTTTTAGGCTTTTAAAGTTGCAGTTTTTGTCAGTCTTTCAATACCCCCCCCCCACCCCTCCCCACCTCCCCCACCCCGGAAACAAAAACAGAGAAAAATTTGAAAAACTTACTTGAACACTTAAGTTTTTTCACTGTGAACTTTGAGTAATAGCTGGACTTCCAACCAGGATGTTTACATTTCCACAGAGCGCTCTCGTCTCCTTCACACTTCAGTTCATTGAGCCAGATCGGTCTGTCTTCAGAAGGCTTAACAGTATCTATTACTGAGTTCTCCACAGGTTCCCCACAGTGAGTGCTCTTACAAACCACTTTTTCAGTGTTCCTGTCCCAGCGTGTATCCCCAACATAACCCCATGTGTTGTTATGGTAGACTTCAAGGTAGCCTTCACATGGGTAGCCTCCTTTGTTTTTTAGAATCAGTTTGTCCTCAGCTAGGAACATACAAGGTTTATACAGCAAAGTATTATTATTGTTATGATTTTTCATGGCTGACTTACTTTTGGGAACTGCAAAGTAAATATTTAAAGTTGTAAATTTAAAATGTCTTTTGTTTATTTGTTTTTTTTTTTATCTGAATATCTTTTTTTTACAAATCTTTTTAATCCCTTCATGTCTTTCTTTAGGATAATATCATCATTCCTCAGCAGATTTATACAAAAACAACAATGAAAAACCACAGTGGTTTATATTTTTTTAACATATGGGGTGTCTATTGTAAATGGCATAGATTAAGAGGAAGGGTATTGTACACCCATGACAGGTTACCAGTCTGTCACAGGGCTAACACATGGAGACAGAACACCGCTGATGCTCACCCTCACCATCATCATTAAGAATTACCAATTAAACTAAGCCCTTAGTACTCATGCAGATACGAGGAGAACAGACAAACTACACACAGGAAGGCCCCAGGCTGGATTTGAATCACTTTCGCACTGTGAAGTGACAGTACTAACCACTGGACCACTGTGATTTCCAGCGAGGGCTAAATTTGCTAATGGGCCAAAATAGCATGCGAGTACAATTCGGAGGTATGCTGATGGGTGTGGTTAGTTTTATAGATAATTTACAAATATTGCACTGTTTTAAACACAGGTGCAGTCAGTTCATTTCAGGACAAAATCAGCCTGTGTTCTTAATTTCAATATTGTCCTGACTATATTTTGCACCTGCATCTGCAGAATCAGTCACAAAAATCTCGGACTTCCCTCCTCTGACACGTGGCTCTTGTCACTGAGCTCTTTGTAAATACTGTACTTTTCTTGACTTTTTTTTTGACAGAAAACCCAGTTTGCACTTGAAAAGTCTTGATTTTAAAAAAAATCACAACAGAAATCTGGATATACACTTGAATTGAACTGTTACATTTCTTCCACACCTTGAAAAGGCTGCTATAAATAAAACAATTTTACATATAGTTTTTAAATAAAATGAGAGAAGGAGAGTCATAGGTGCCCTGTGTGATTGTGAGTGCGAATGGTTCTCTGTCTCTATATGTTTGCCCTGTGACAGACTGGCGGCAACCTGCACAGGGGGTACCCTGCCTCTCGCCCTAAAACAGCTGGGATAGGCTCCTGCGACCCTGACCCGAGAGAATGGGTGGATTTTAAAATATAAATAATATTTCAAAGGTATTTCAAGGATTTCTTCCAAAGTTGAATTTTACACAAAAGTACTGCATTAATTGTTTTGGGGGGTTTTTTGGTTCAAATTCAGGATCACATCTGGACTCAGTTCTAACGCATTCACACACACGGTCATATAGAGAAATTCAAATTAGTACCAACAATTAACAATATTACTACTGTTCAGAATGAAATAAACTGAATTAACTTGCCTTGTGAGATCACCAGCTCAATGTGAGCAAGGTGGAGAAGCAGGAGGAGGAACCACATCGTCACCACAGCTCATGACTTGAGAGTGAGACAGACAAATGATGCGCTCGGCTTTATATTGCCATGGCTTCGCCCACCAAAAATGGAAATGAGCAGCATACGCGCCAAAGCTAGACTCACAAATATTAACTTAGATTGAAAGACACACAACTAACTAACACACAAGTGTGCTTACTTCATATACAGCACCTTTTTATGCTTTTCTCTTCATTAAACTAAAATTCCCCTTGATGCTGTGACACTGGCACACAACATACTGTATTAGAATGTACAATTGATCAACTGTTGATAAATTATAAATGTTAAGTTTAATAACTGATGCACATGGCTGTTTTGATGTTTTTAATTTGCTGTTATTATTTTCATTTGAAATATTTCAATAAACTGATCTAGAAATGATTTTTTTACTCAGCACTCTCTATGACATAAATTTGACGCCATTAAATAATATCTGCCTCAACAGAGTCATAATATTGCTTCATGCAAACAAACTTAACATAGTTTACCAAGTTCTTTAATACTGATAAATTCAGTTAATCCATAACCACAGAAAAAAAAGATGTGATGTTAACAAACTCTAATGTTATAAATGCAATTAATTTTTCTTGTGTTGCTTATGATGAATACCTTTATGCAAATGAGCACAGACAGATTATCATGTTCTTTAATACTAATAAATTTACATCACAAAATCAAAATAAGGATAGATAACAAACATAAACACAATTTTTTAATTTAAAAAAATCATCATGAACATTTTTTTAGCAACATTGTAATAATAGTAACACCAAAAATATTCCACATAGTTTTCTACAACTAACAGATAAAATAAGTTTTTGTCTTTGATTGTTTTCAATGATTCAACAGCAGCATGCATTTGCTGTGTATGAATGAGTATTAGGGCCAGGAGTATTAAACCCTCTACAAATACCTTGTGTAGACGAGTCAGTAGAATTGGTTTTAATTAGTTTAGTACCTTTTCAGTACAGAAACACAGTGGGACGATAAGTATTAATCACACTGAAAAGATGGTGCAGAGAGCTGCATCTGGTCAGAAGGAAAAACACACAAACTTGGAAGAGATGGCCAGATTTGTGCAAAATGAAATAGCTGTGAATAGAAAGATGCAAGAATATTGATGCAGTAAAGAGTTTGTATTTTGTATCCCAAGATGGCTGATCAACTTATCTACACAAAGCGTTTTTAGAGAGTGCCAGTTTGTCTTGAAACAGCAACTGTAACCTCCACATTTGACTTTTTTTTTATCAAAGTATCACTTCAACTTTAATCTCAAAATATCTACTTTAATCCTGAAATAAACACTATTTATTTCTTCTTAACATGGTCCTAATACTCTGTCATAGCTGTGCCTGTTTTCAAAGAGCTCTATAAATAAATATAGTATGGTAAATCAATTTTAAAGAGCAACATTTTGTTTGATTTAAAATTAGTTTTTTAATCAGTGTCCTTAGCCGCAGCAGACAACTGTATAATTCCACTAGTATTGTGAAGATGAAGATTTCAAACAATTTGTCTTTAATGAAGTTACATTAAATGTCAACTTCTATCAGTAACCCTGATATCTGAGATCATTATGTCCTTAAACAAAAACACAAAGCCTTAGGGAGCAGCTCACACAGTAAAACATCAGCTCACATCAGAGAAATGTCAAACTATTAATATTCTTAGAAAGGAAATATTATTTCAGTGAGAAAGAAAGACTTAAAAACAACAACCTCCTGCTGCATTTTATCAGACCGCATCTACAAGCTGTAAAATCTGTGAAAAAAAAAGAAAAGAAATATATCTATATATCTATATATCTATATATATATATACATAGCATCATGAAAGTAGAGAGCATGACATTTGAGTAAGGCTTTAAATAACATGAGGAATAATCAAAAATACTACACACAATATCCAAGTATTGTATTTCACAATGGCCAGGAGACATACACTCAAGTATGCATTGCCCAGTATATGCGGCATGTATACAGGATGTGATATATAAAATATGTATATAAACATTAACAACTAATGCATGGTAAAAACGCATCACTCTAATGGAATTATCCATCCTGACATTTTACATGTGAATGTTCCTGGACTGTGGTCACAGGTGTAAAATGAGTGTACGAGAGAGCTGCACGGCTCTGTGGCTGTCTGGCGGGAGACTTTTCGGAGCTGTGACTAACTGGAAACAACGTATTCCCCGCTGCCCTTTTGATTCTTACTGAAATTCATTTACCCAAAAAGCCCATTTTGGCAACAAAACAAACCAAGTTGCTAAAAGGCCTGCAAGAGTTTTCTAGACATAAAGACATAAATTTTGGTTAAAGTGTCTCAGAGTCTCAAACTATCGAGGGAAGACACTTCAGGGTGCATTTGTTTTATTGTTACATACTTTATGCCTCTTTATACTGTAGATATCATGAATGAATTATTAGCAGAATGTGCTTATATTATAAAAATGACAGCCAGGCCTGAGTTCTCCTGTAGACCCCCCAAATTTAAAATAATAATAATAATAATAATAAAACAAAATCTACACATAAATCATAGCAATGAAAGTGTGATAATAAGGCCTTCCCTCGCCGACTGATTTATCGCTATCACTTTGTGACAGAGGTAGTGATGATGCTATAATAACGACATTAAGATTATTTTTGCCTTTTTTCCAGTCCCGTTATTTCTCCCCTCCTTGATGTGCAGAGAGTACAGAACACAGAGAGGCACACTTTACACACACTCTCATCAGGGTCTCTCCCTATTGTTATAAGAGACATAGATATAAATGTTAATATATATAATATAACCTATAAAAATATATATTTATAAACTACTGTCCAAAAGTCTTAAACCGCCTTTCATTTCTCTATATTTTTTCTAGTAGCTACATTAACTAGACGGAAACATGCACACATGCTTGAATTATTCATAGTGTGAAGTATTTTAACAAACGTACATATAATACGTATAATATATAGAAATTAACACACAGTATAATATTTAACTATGATTTAAAATAAAAAATATTTAAAAATATTGTAATATGTTTAATATATTAATAAAATATAGACTTATTTAAGAGAAATTTAGTGTGTACTTAACAACATTTTTAAATCAGGTGTTGAGACAACTTTAAAAAATGTTTTTCAACATTTTCTCTCATTTATGAATAAATTTCATTCTTAATTTCACTCCTTTTTAAAATTATACAAAATAAAAATAATTATTATATATTTGTATATTTACATAATAAAAACTGTAAATCTATATTTGTATGTTTATTTTATGTAAAAATATTTTTTGCTTGACATGTCTTTGTGTGTGTCTCAAAGCAAAGAATCAATGTCAAGGTTCAAAGTTGCGTATCATAACTCATTGTAAATTATTCACTTCTATCAGGCTCACTAAAATACAACCACACTGGAAAAACATCAAATTAATCTAATGAAACTCTCAAAATAAATACAATAATGTTTAACTATCACATGACATCAGTTGGCATTTTTTTCAAATATGCATAACCCTGAAAAAAAAGAATTGTTTTTTTAATAGTTGTTGTGGAAATCTGTTTGATTTCCTCTCGAGTACTATGGCACAACATTCTGAGTATTTGATGTCACATCGAGGCGTATGACTCACGCAGGGGTGTCTTGACCACATTTATCAGTAGGCTGATCAGAAATGAGGCATAACTGACACAACCATCAGCTCAGGGTAGGAGCTAGCTTAGCAGAAATAAAGCCACAAACATCTGGGTTGTATTTTTGAAACCAGATCGTCTATCTAGGCAGGAAACTGTGATCGTTCACATGCTTCTGCTTCAGACATATTCTCAGGAAACATGAAAGTATCAGCTCCTAACTGAGTTTTAAGTGTTTATTTGATGAAAAAATAGACGCACGTAGGGCTTATATTTGTTTTAAATATTTAAACAGCAAAGTCATGGTATTTTTCCCATTTGAATCAAACTGAACACTAAATTAAAGGGCACACCAAACAGCAAACAATACTCTCAGGGTGCACAACCCCTCCTTGTTGCCCCCATAAGACAGTGTGAAAATACACATGAAACAATAACAAAATACAAGAAACTAATAAAATCAGTGCTTTCTTAACATAAATTAAGAAATCATGTGCAAGAACAACATACATGAAACAATGTTTTGAAAATATATTTTAAATTTCGGTAGCCACACCCAAGTCTGATTAAAGTGAGCACTGTCGAATCAGGGGATCACTTAAATAAAACCTGTCTGACAATGTGAAGTAAGATCTCAAAAAGCAACAGTCATGCCACAATTTCACTGACAGCTATCTGTCTTGTTAGAGCCATTTCTAAGGCTCTATCACTCACCAAACCAGGGTGATACCCATCAACCATTATGAGGTAAACTTAAAACAGAGGTAAGCCTTTACAGGAGTGGCTGGCCCACCAAAATGACTCCAAGAGCACATTGATGACTCGTCCAGGTCACAAAAGAACCCAGTGCAACATCAAATGCACTGGCTCATGCAGCAGGGCAATGATCCAAAACAGCAAGTCAAAAGATAAATAAATAAATACTGTAAAGGTTTTGAAGCAGCCTGATCAAAGTCCAGACTCACATCAGACTGATTTGCTTTGGCGTGACCAAACAGGTCGTTTGCGTGATGAAAAACCATTCAGTGTGGTTGACTTCAACAGTTCTGAAATGATCATTTCAAAATGGTATTTTGTATTTACTCTGGTTATTTTTGTCTCATTTCTAACATTTGTTTATTGATCTGAAACATGTAATTGTGACAAATGTGTAAAAACCATTTAATTCTGAGTACATTCATTTACTGACACAAATTTTCTCAATAGTATCTATCAACATCTAATAACAATTATTAATGAACGTAACAAATGAATGCTCTACACTCAGGACAGACAACTGATTAATAAAGTTTTTTGTTTGCTTCTATGAGGGAGTTACTAACAACTCTGATGGTAGGTGATCTTTCAAAAACAGCAATACAGCACTGATAGCCTTTAGCTACATGGAAAAAA